TGTATTTATGAATTTCTGAATATGGGGCAAAGCCTGATACTGGGGTTGTGTTCTATATGACCTTCATTTGTATAAGACCATGGAAAGGAACAGAAGTACATCATGAGATAACAATGGTGATGATTATTAGAAGCTGTGGATCCAGAAATAAACAAAACAGGCTCCAAGCCAAAATTTAAAGGGTTTGAGTCTAACTCATATTACCAGGATAATTTTCAAGCAGAGGTTAAGCATCGTTCTTGATTTTTCATTAATTAATCCTGATAAAACACAAATATCACTTTTCCCATTCACACAGATCCAATCAAACTACCCATACATAAATGCAACTGATAACCGAAGAAAAATTCTGGAAAACTCTCCTAGTAGCCTTCAAATAGTGGCGGCTGAACTACATTTGTTAGATTTTTATATTGTTTAAAGTCTACCTGTTTATAAAAGTGTCCATTAAACTAGTACTTCATAATTCCATTTAATATGACTTTTTATTTAATTTAGCGGGGAAAAAGGGAGCAAATTTTGATAAATTAATCTGAATCAACCCAATAATTTCCATTTCGGAAATTATGATCAGGGAACTATTTTTTCATTTAGTAGTCCACAAGTACTTAGCAATGTTCCACTGGGGAAAGAAGTTAATATATGTAATATAATTTCTATTCATTCTAGGAATCTTTATTAGTTTGACTTGCTCATTCCTTCTGTTACTAATCATGTATCATTTTTTCATAAATTTTTTCATTCATTTTTTCATAGTCAAGCAAATAGCAAATAACAGAAACAATAACAATTTTACTGTAATGTTGAAAAGGCACCATAATTGCTTTAATAGAACAGAAGCTTATATCGATTGACAGTAAACAACATCACATATAGCCCAGTGCTAATTACTCCGTTCATACAGCTTTCCTGGCATAAAACAAATCATAACAATCTGAAAGGCAAATCAGATATTTAGTTATTGCTTTTTCATTTACAAGAGTTGTCAAAGGAACATTTCTCCCTACATAAAATTTGTTTTATTTCTAAGAATAAAGCAAACTAGAAAAAATATTTTTATAAGATTAACAAATCTTGTTTATCTATTTCTACAACTTGACTTAGAACTGAGAATAGACACTTCTCTTCCTGAAGGCACTATTTCATTTTTAAAAACTGATTAAGCTGGGACCTTGCTTATCCAACAAATTCTCTTATTTCCAGAATCTTCTTATTCTATTACCAAAATAAATTTATGAAACTACATTTGTTTATTCATACTATGCTGAAGAAATGGAAAGATCTACTTTGAAACATGCACAGCGTATTCTTAATAATTCATGCAGGGTTTTTTAAATAAACTTATACAAATACAAAGATCAAAGAAATACAAACTAAAAAAAACATACAAATTTGTAAAAAAAAGTGAAAAAAGGATAAAAAGAAAAAAGAAAAAAGGTATATAAAAGATATCTCCTCATCCCTCCAGACATGTATAAGCAATTTGTCTAACTTCTTTAGTACTTTGATCCTTTAAAAAAACTCTTCTTCCCATATGTCATCCCTTATCAATAGTCAGATTACAAGATATACACTTTATATATCTTCTTTTCATTTTTAAAAAGACCGATTTTTAGTCCCATCAAATAGTGTCCCACAAGTTAATTTCTTGTCAGTTTCTCTGTGTCCTCCTTGGATGGTTGCTTTTTGTCTCATCTCAGAGAGAATTTCTTTGGTTCCACATATTATTTTTATACATTCAAAACAGGTTTTCCAAGTCATTATTTTGATTTATTACTTGTATGTCCCCTTTAATTATTAAAACATCAACTGGTTTCATTTGTAAATTCATTCTGACATCATTTTCCATATCACTTTTAAATCATCATTTTAAAATCCATTTTCGGATCCACATCATCTTTTTCCAAATAATTTTTGTAATGCAGCATTTTTTAAAAACTCCAAATCCACACTGAGATCAGTCTCAGTTTCTATTTTATCCGGTAAAATCTATTGTTCTTATACCAGAGTGCCACCCAATCTTGTAAGTAACTTTTGAGTAAAATTTTCCCAAGCAATTCTATAGTCAAATTATGTAGTTCCATGTATTGATGGGGCTGTTCTCCTTTAACATAATCTTTGTTCTTTATAGTTCGCTGCGGCCAGCCTTCATTTCCCCTCTTATCATTTGTTTATTTTCAGTCAGCAAAACTTTGCCACAGGAGAATTTCTTACCATTTAATTTCAAAAACTTCACATAATATTTTACAAATTTTTAAACACCCCACAGGAAATATTCTTTCAAAGTCCACCTAGCTCCTTAACTTTCCAAAATCAACATTCTAGAACCATTTTTACAGTTTTTCAAAAAGTAAAGCTTCTCTTGTAAATCCTTAAACTTAGTTAAAGCTGCTTTCGTCCAGGACAGAAGGAAAAAACTTTCGATGAATTAAAATAAGAACTTGGGGAAAGTTCTTAACTCCTAAGAAATTAGTAACAAGCAGTTTCCTAAAGTGATTAAGAGAGGAAGAGTCTTTAAAAGGGGGTGAACGTGGCTTATGTGTTGATCTTTACCTCCTCCTTAGTCTGGAGAAGAATTCCAACAACCGATCCCTTCATGGCTCTTATTTTGGCCGCATTTGTCAGCGCTACAAAAAGAAGAGCTATTCTCAGTCTGCTATAGTAGCCTAGAAGTTAATTGATGTGGGATTCTTGATGTGAACAGGCTTACCAGAACCAGCCAGCAAAATATTTTGTCCAATCCACACAAACCAGTGACAGAGCAACATGCATGTATCTACTTTTAAAGTTCTTTCTCTTCTTTATCTGTAGCACAATTTATCATTTATATGAATGGCAGTTTTAATAAACTGGTAAATACAGGTAATCCTCAACTTACAACAGTTCATTTGGTGACTGTTCAAAGTTACAATGGCACTGAAAAAAGTGACTTATGACCGTTTTTCATACTTATGACCTTTGCAGCATCCCCATGGTCACGTGATCAAAATTTGGATGTTTAGCAACTGGTTCATCTTTATGATAGCTGCAGGGTCCTGGGGTCATGTGATCAGCTTTTGTGACCTTCTGACAAGCAAAGTTAATGGGGAAGCCAGATTCACTTAACAACATGTTGCAAATTTAATAACTGTGATTATTCATTGAACAACTGGGGCAAGAAAGGTTGTAAAATGGGGCAAAACTCACTTGACAAATGTTTCATTTAGCAACATAAATTTTGGGCTCAACTGTGGTTATAAGCTGAGGACTACCTGTAGAAATTTTCCAGACTATTAAATTGCTTCAAAATATACATGCAGATTCATTAAAGTCAATCATCTTACTCAACACATTCCTTTGTTAAACATTCCTCATGCATTTATAAATATAATAGTAGTAGTATATAGGAAATGAAAGAAAGGGTTGATAACTATGGAGATTGCAAAGTGGTAGTTGAAATCTGTACGAATCGAGTCAGGAAGACTTAAGCACAGAGGTACAAGAACTCTGAGGAAATAGATATTTCCAAAGACAGTGCGTGTCAAATGAGCTTGTGAATGAAATAATATACAATGGAAGTAGTTGTAAGAGCCAAGATTCCAAAATCAGTTTGGCAAGATTGATGTCAGTCCCACTAGGTAGACCAGACCAAGAAAGCAGTTCCATTGGAAAGCTAAAGTTACTTCTATTTATATTAATTACAATCAGAGGTTGTATTCTGCCGGTTTGGACAGGTTGGCCCAAACTGGTAGCAGAAATCATGGGTGGGCCTGCCCACCCACCCCGGCTCTAGGCTGTCCCATTTAGGCACTTTTTTTAGTCAAAGCGCTGAGCGCATGTGCGGACGGGGCACATGCATTCACATTTGCGAACTGGTAGGGAAGGTAAGTAAATACCACCCCTGGTTACAATAGCAGAAACTTGCAAGTCTGATTGGCTGCACCTTCTTCCCCTTCTTATACTCCAGCAAATTAGGGAACCACTTCCAAATGTAACTTCATTCTCGATTTTAAAAATGCAATGCTTTCTACATATCTCAATGCAAGCTATCTTCCTTATCATCTACATTATATTAAAGCCTTTGTATGTGTTGATTCCCAATCAAGCCCCTGAATCACTTTTGAGTCCTGAGCACCTAGATATAGCCCCAGTGAAAATAGTGCTGAACAATAGCAGAATATTAACTGCACTTTTTTTGTTTAGCTGTTTTTCCTGGTTGGTATTTAGGACATGTGTGTTTATTTTCTGTATTTTTCTTTAATTATCCTGCAACAGAATATATTTTTTCTGGGCACCTTAAAAGTATAAATAATAAATAAAAATGTAATTTTAAAAAATTGACTGCATTCTCTTCTTTCAACTTAAAACATGTCTCCAGAGATTTCTGCACCTGTGTAGCAAATGCTGAAAATTCAAATTTTACAATTCCACAGAATTGCTCTAGCATGACCTTGACCAAAGATAGCTTACTGGCAACTAATGCTAGTGAAAGCTTCATTTTTTTATTAGACTTAGAAAGCCCCAACAAACTCAGGAAAAGACAAATTTAAGTGTTCCTTATTCGTATCTGTCTTCAGAACCATCAGAGTCTTGAGTAGTTTTTTAAATCCAATAAATAAATAAAACCTATATTGATGAAAGGCTCTTCATGTAGGTATCTTTTACATAAAGCAATGAAAATGAATCCAATTATGAAGAAATATAGCTTTTCGAACAAATTATTGGTGAACATAAAGAAAATGAAGAAAATATCAGCAAAACTTATACCATATTTCCATATAATAATTATGAAAACAAATCCTCACTAATCTTCTCTATATCATTTCACATAGACAGTTGCAAATTTAACACATCTATGTCATAATTGGGCTTTTATTTGAAGTTATACTCATATCTATCACAGTAGCAAGTAATTGCATCCATTGTTCCATTAGCTGAGACGATTAAGCTTCATATTTCACCATTGAGATGCAGATATTTATAAGAAAACATCATGAGTGGTAAATGCTACTATTACTTACCACACTAAGTCCTAGAAGCTCTCTGCAATAATAGTCCATGTTCCTCTTCCCTAAATTATCCAGATAATGCTGAAGACGAGTATAAGTATAAGGGTAGCAGTAAGCAAATTGATATATGTCATCTTCTCGGTCAAAACAAAAAGCAAATGACATAACATAATTCTTTCTGTGATCAGGACAGCGGTAATAATACACATTTCGGGGTGGAAGTCTCTGCCTGAAAAATAAAATAAGGCAAAGTAACTATCAGAGAGAATATTATATAGAGAAAGAAAGCTCAAACTTTGTGCAAATCCTGTATATATTTCCTGTATTTTATTAAGAAGATTAATAATTAAAAAGAGACTTTCAGACAAAGGCTATGCCTTTTGGAAGAACTTATTAAGTTATTTTTAAATGATTGGTTATGGCTTTGAAAAGTTCCTTTCTATTTCCCCAATCACAAAAAGACTTTATGACATAATATATTCAAGTCTGGTACAAAGAGGACGTTCCCCACAGATCTGTGATTTGATTTACCAGCCTTGTCTCATTGAAATTAATGTCATGTAAGAGAATGGCTAGGTAAAAAGCAGTTGTCATCGTGTAAAATTGAGTACAGAATAAGACCAAATATGTCCTAAATTATATCATATAGTCATGATGTAAACTTATGGGAATATCACAAAACTCAACTTATTTAAGGCAAAATAAAAAATTCTTCCAAAATTATATTGCTCTATAACCTTGCGAAATAAGGCATTTAGATATGCTTTATTAAATAGCTATAGAAAGATAAACATACTATTTCTTGAAACAATATGTTGAAACTGTACAAAAATCAATTATTGGATGATAAAAAAAAGTCACAGCAGGAAGGTACATTTTTTAGAAATGAAATTTGCATGAGAGTACCTTGTATTAGACAGCATATTTAAATTTGTACCAGAATTCAGGATAATTATATATGGCCATCTTGGATGTCTGAGTCAAAATTGATTGGAATTATAAGCTTTCAGCTTTTATCTGCCTGGACAGACTCCACAAGACTCTTGGTAATCTAATATCACAAATTCTCCAGCCCTCTAGCAAAAGAATGCTATTATCCTGTAGGCACCAGCTTATTCAATTAAATAATATAATAAACAGGTCCTCTGTAATGGTTTTATCAGGAGTTCACTACAATCAGGCAATGATGGCAAAGAAAATATAATATGATTTTCAGAACACAGCAATACTAATGTCTTTTGCAGTAATGAGTCCCAAAAAAGGCAACTGCAGAAGATCAGTTTTGGCCTTTTATTGTTAATGTGAAATGGCAACAAGAAATTTCCCATTGTAGAAAATGACATATTATATAATTAGACACAGTTAAGAACCATCAAAAGCAAAAACAAAACCCTTCTGACAAAATACAATAAAAGAGACTGCAATGCTGCTCAATGGAGATGAAATAAAACCTATTTCCTCTTGTTATTGCTCTGGCTTGGCAACCCAGAGCAAGGATGAGAGGATTAATTATTTATTATATTCCGGAGTACAGACTATTATACACTCTCTAATTTTCTCATTATTTTGGATCAAAGAGACAAAAGGATTGTGGATATTAATTTTCTATGTAAGTAATAGTAGTTATATATGTGTGTGTCCAAGAGGAAGAGGAAGACGAAAAAAGAGAAAAAAGTTCTGATATTTAAGGCCTATCCAGTCTACCATTCTGTTCTCACAGTAACCAGCCAAATGCTCTTGGAGAGTTCATAAACAAAGAGCACAAGAGTTTCACTTGATACTGGAAATATATTTAGTTTTCATCATAACCATCCTCTAATCAAAAAAAAAAAAGGACAGGGAAAAATGATTGGCACTAAACAGTAGACATGGATTTAAAAAAAGTCTTATCCAAATGTATATTTTCCCCCCTGTGGTGACTAATCATTGTACTAACAACCATCTGTAACAGCACACAGAGCACAAAAGCTCCATGTACTCCATCAACATTGACTATGAAGAGTTCTGGATGTCACTTAGCGCAACTGTGTTTTGTTGCGGAGTGGATCCAAGAAGTTGGAGGCCACTGAATGCACCTAGCTGGCCATATTCTTCACTTGGCAGAATATGATACCTGAAAAATGCTGTATGCTGGGAGCTGCCAGAGGGAAAGTGGAGATGGGATAGAACACGCAAAACTTAGTGTCAGACATTAAAATATTAATTATGGACAGTGGACATCAAATGGGATGATGCCACTACAGAAAAGATTCATTGGAAGAAGCTTTGTGTGAAAGGAACCGGTGATGATGATGATGATGATAGTGACTAATCAAAAACCTCTGGGGTGTCTAAAGGCAAAACATGAATGTAATTATTGCCTGTGATACTGGATTATAACTATTCCAACAAGCAATTAGCATTACCCATTCAGTGCTAACAGGTCTGTGAAATATCTTGCCTTTCTAACCAAATTTAAGAATACTATCAAATGGAGTGTCAAATGTGTGAGGGAAGCTTGTCAACATCCCAGCAGGGGAAAGCCAGTATCTGGTGCAATAGAAAATGTCCAAGGGGACTATCAACCAATCAGTGGAAAAAGCAGGAAATCAATTTGCTCCTCCCATGGACATCTAGTTTTGTTCTTCCCTTAGTATACTATCAAATACTTCTAAGTGGACTTCAAATCAAACAGAGTGCACCTCAACAATCATTAGAAGTTTAACTGCGACTTTGTATTACCTCATTTCTAAAGTACGGTAATCTCTCATCTTCCTTTCACCATCTTCCCTTTCCTTCCCTACCAACAATGCCTGTACTAAAATTAGATTGAAGTGGAAAGCGGTTTTCCATTCAGACACAAAGAGCTGAGCTCAGCTCAATGACAGTTCAATGAATTATATGTCATATGTCTGGTGAGATGTACTAAAAACTACAAAAGCTTATGCAATTGTACATCTGTTAGTTTTAAAGGTGGCACAAGGCTCTTTGTTGTTTATACTATTAGTTTTACTATCAGTGATTTCTACAAGAAAAAGACTTATTCTCCCTTAAGAGATATAAGCCTCTATTCACAGAAAAGGTTTATTTTAAGAGATATTCAGTCTCAGTATAACTGTAATGGAACTCTAGAGGGTTAATATATTCTTACTGTCGTTTTTAAGGGTGATCTATTTCCAAGTCAAATGTAGGAGAGGGGGTACTACAATACCAACAACAAAAACCTAATCAGATTGAGACTATCTGTGAATTTTTTTAAAAAGGAAAACAGAAAGACAAAGAAACAAAAGAGACATGGCACCATAGTTATGGCCAGTGAAGTTTTTGGTTAAACAAAGACATTGTTCCGTTCTTGTATTAACCTCTGTGTCCTAGATGTATCATTGTTTACACTTTTCCTCTTTAAGTTCTATGCCTGCTGGAAAAGGACACCCATACACTGTGGCAGCAGCTGCTTCTATTAATTTAAAGCTATTACAAAAATTAAAATTAAACCCAATTACTTTGGCTGGTTTATAATCAGAGAATGGCTTAGTCTGATTGTTCCCTCTGGTTATGGACAAAATAATATTACTACCTATAGGCAGCTGCCAGTAGAATACTAATGCGTATTAGACCAGCAGGGAAGGGTTCAGAATGCAAAACTTAATTGTGCATTTTTGAGCAGAGACTTTATATAAAACACATGCAGAAACAAACACACAACCATCTTGTCACAGACTTGCAGAAATGCCCAACCTTTTTATTATAGAAGCTACACAGTCTGTGACAGCAAAAGTTAGGAAATCACACTGGAGAATATTTATTATGGCAGAAAATTTCCTGGAAGCATATGGCTAGAAATACTCCAAGGTAACATACATTTATTTATTTATTTATTTATTTATTTATTTATTTATTTATTTATTTATTTATTTATTTATTTATTTATTATGTATTTATTTATTTATTTATTTATTTATTTATTTATTTATTTATTTATTTATTTGACTTATATACTGCTTCATAGAGCTTTAAGCCCTCTCTAAGCAGTTTACAGATCTTTAGCAAATTGAGTCAGCAAATTGCCCCCACAGTCTGGGTCCTCATTTCACCGACCTCGGAAGGATGGAAGGCTGAGTCAACCTTGAGCCGGTGAGATTTGAACCGCTGAACTGCAGATAACAGTCAGCTGAATGGGCCTGCAGTACTGCACCCTAACCACTGCGTCTCTCGGCAGTATCTAACAAATACTATTCTAGCATTACTTATTTAATCAGAGGAATTCCAAATTCTATAAGCATTGACATTTCACTGATTTCAGAGTATTGCTAGAGAAAAAGGAAGTGGTGCTTAGCATTTAATATATTAGGTACCCTTTTTTTGGCTACTTGGCTTGCAAAAATGATTAGAAAGTTTGTTCTCCTTTTTCTTCCTTTTAATAAAGAACAACAAGCAAAGCAGTAGGTTTTTTTTTTATTCAAGCAATTGTACCTCCCAAATGGATTTTAAAAACAGGGAATGTCATTTTGCATGTTTCCCCAAAATTTCAAAATACAATCCAGCTGGAATTAATAAATTTGGATTGATTCAATAATTATTAATTTTGGCGATCCAATGTAGGATAAAAGATAAAGATAGACCCACCCTCCACTGCTCCCCAAGCTTTATGATCTGAGTAAAACAGAATAGGCTGGGATACTTTCTCCTTCTCTTTTTTAATTGTACTATTTCCAAGCTGCATAGCTGAGAAACCAATCATCAGGGTCTTTGTAAACTATGAAGCTATAGATCTGAAATTTAGTCATTGTTTATTCTAATAATCATAAATAACTCTTCACAGTCTCTAAATTTACATTTGTTTCTGTATCCCTTTCCCATCTCTTATCTATAAAGAAATCCATAAAGATATATTTTTTTCACTCCTGGTGTCAGAGTTCATAAAGGTTAGCTAGCAGTAACAATATATCTTGTTTTAACCTTGATCAAATAAACAACTGTATAGCCCCTTCTTTTACTTTTAGTAGCTTTAATCCCTAGTTCATTTAAATACTGTCATAGGATTTGATTTCACTTTATTTTTCCTTGGTCCCATCACACAGAATTCTTCACAAGAAGTCTCTTTTGCAAATTCAATGGGGGGCAGGAATATCCAGGTCATTCTCTTGGTTTGTTATTTCCATTTAAAATTTTAAAAACTCAGTCACCTCAGGGGCTGTCACAAAGAAGAGGAGTCAAGATATTCTCCAAAACACCTGACGGCAGCAATGG